CTTACAGCACCTGGTATTCCCAAGCGGTCACCCATTTAGGTATTCACCAGTCTCGACTTTGCTCAACTTCGGTGATCGTATGAAAATAGGTGTTCCAACGTGATTTGACCATAAGCCGTTAAGGAGTGCAGTAAATAAATTCAGTTTTAAAGGATAATTCTTATGCTTAAAAACATCCGTATTAGTCACCATTCTCTTTTAATAATCTTTATTTCTCTCTGTGTCATTGGTTTCCAACTTTCTTTTTTTGCTATGGATGCTAAGGAAGCTTAGCGTCCATAGCATAGTAATGGCCATTAATTTAACTTTCCTTAAGAACTTGAGACTGTATACATGCAATAAAATTAATATTTAATATTAGAATTTTTACAATAAAATATTGTTACTAATATATATATATATATATATATATATATATATATATATATATATATATATGGAAGCTCAAAGTGGTCTGTTTTTATTTAAATTATTTGCTCTGGATTTACATCGTCCTTGGGTTTACCCATACGGATTACCTAGTTTTTTTCATAAACTATATATATATATATATATATATATATATATATATATATATATATATATATATTCAGTCGAGCACCCCTGAGAGAAAGCATGAATCTATAAACACTGACTACTACTGCTTATCATGAAAATGAATGCATTGAATTGAGCCCTCTGGGTCACTGACGTTTTTATTCAAAAAAGAATAATTACACAAAAAGTCACCTTCCCCTCTACCAAGCACTGGTAGCCTAGGGGTAAAATATCCGACTTATGCCAAATCAATTGGATTTCGATCTCGACTTGAGGTAATTGGATGTTTAGTCACACTGATGAGCTGTGGTGCAGCAAAACAGTCTGTGGGTGACAATATATATATATATATATATATATATATATATATATATATATATATATTCAACACCATCACTTAAGTTATACTTAACATGAGGAAGAGACAGTTGAAATTTCTACAGATGGATGCTTAGGATACCATGGACCGAACAAGTGAGCAACGACAAGGTTTTGGAGAGAATGGAAACAAAAAGGAAACTTATACTTAACATCAGGAAGCGACAGTTGAAGTTTCTACAGAAGGATGCTGAGGATACCATGGAATCGAACAAGTGAGCAACGACGAGGTTTTGGAGAGAATGGAAACAAAAAGGAAACTTATACTTATCATCATGAAGAGACAGCTGAGCTTTCTAGAGTATATAATGAGGAAAGAGGGCTTGGAGAATCTGGTACTCACAGGACATATTGAGAAAAAGAGGGACAGAGGAAAGAAGCTCATAACATACTTGATGAGATTAATATGGATGGCCGAGCAGGGTTTAGGAGAAATAACAAGAACACAAAATTTATTAAAAGCTACAAGTGAAAGGATATTGTGGAGAACCATAATCCCCTACGTCCTGAGGGGATGCGGTACATAAAGAAGATGAAGAATTATTTGTATGATACTCGAAAATGTAAATACAACGTCAATCGTCATCATTTGACCTTTATGAACCTGATCTTTTATGGTCCTTTCTCCTCAGTAATATAAAGTTTTGTTCGCTCTTAGGAACTACTTGAGTCTTAGTGGCTTTTGCCGTATTGCCTGGGGTGAAATGATTAAAAATATATGTTGTGAATTATTTCACTAACAAAATCGAATAACTGGACAACAGCAATTTTTATACCTCTATCTATAAAAGGCAGGATATGTGTGTGTGTGTGTGTGTGTGTGTGTGTGTGTGTGTGTGTGTGTGTGTGTATTTAATGAATGCACGGCCGCAATTTTCGACGGATATGCACCAAAATTTACATTCACATTCTCCAAGTTAGCAGGAAGTCCAAGACCGACTTTGCATTTCCCAACTCCCATCGATAGTGGAAATAATCGATTTTTTCATGCTTCTACAGCAATTTTAATGTAGTTTGCGGCCATTTTCTACTGGCCAGAGTGAGAGCCTATAGCTGGCTGCCACGAATAGGCAGGAAGATTTTATTGGCCAGCGTGAGAGCCAACAGCTGACTGACACAAATGTTAACTAGCATGCTAGCATGCAAAAAAAATCGATAGCTGCATTCGTCACAAGTGGCAAAAATTTAAATCTGCATGGCACTTTACTCCAATTGGCTCATTCGCTTGCTTAAACTCAACGTTGATTCTGATTCCGCAGAACTGGGTTGGGTGTGAAAAGTATTTGTTGTTAACATTCTTTTCATTCGGTTTTCGAGTTACGAGTCCTTTTTAAAGCTGATCGTTTTGTGTTCATTTTGTTTAGTTCTTTTTCGTAACAGGTTTAATGTTTAGTATAGAGCTTAGAAAAAATTCGCAGTGTGAGATAGGCAAGAAGTAAGGCATGTAGCAACATCAGCATGGCAAAGGGCGCTCCTTTAAAGGCAAGGAAGGGCAAAAATATTTTAAGTCAAGTGATAGCGATTGCTGTATGAGTCGTACGATTTTTGAATCAAGCATGGGCCAGCTGGTTGTTGATATTGCGAGATGAAACAGTAAGATCTATGCAAGTAGTTTCATCTCTCGCAATTCTCGCTTGTGAAACTCTCTTTCGGCCTCTTGTTTTCCTACCAATTTCTTAATCTATGTGCTATGCTTCTTCAGAACGTTGGCGATCATGGCTCTCCACAATTCACTGTTCTTTGTAACAATTAATAAATTTTGTGTTTATGCGGTCTCTCCTAAAATCTATTCTGCCATCCATTTACTCAAGTTCACTAAGTTGGTTATGCATTAGTTTGCTCTGTCCCTTTTGGCTTCAATCTGTGAGTATCGGATTTTCCAAGCTTTCTTTCCTTATTATGTGCCCTAGAAATGTCAGCTGTCTCTTGCCGATATTAAATATAAGTTTCCTTCAGTATCTGTCCATATTACTGAAATGAGATATTATTTACATTATTCGGACTATTGTCTTCATCTTTGTCGCCATATTTTTTACAACCTTTAGGCCATTCAGTATCTGTCTATATTTCTGAGATGAGGTATTATGTACATTATTTACATTATTCGGACTATTTTTCTCATCTTTGTCGCCATATTTATTACAACGTTTCGGCCTTTCAGTATCTGTCTATATTTCTGAGATGAGGTATTATGTACACTATTTACGTTATTCAGACTATTGTCCTCATCTTTGTCGCCATATTTATTACAACGTTTCAGCTTTTCAATATCTGTCTATATTTATGAGATAAGGTATTATGTACACTATTTACATTATTCGGACTATTGTGCTCATCATTCTCGCCATATTTATTACAACGTTTCGGCCTTTCAGTATCTGTCTATATTTCTGAGAAGAGGTATTATGTACACTATTTACATTATTCGGACTATTTTCCTCATCTTTGTCGCCATATTACAACGTTTCGGCCTTTCAGTATCTGTCTATATTTGTGAGATGAGGTATTATGTACACTATTTACGTTATTCGGACTATTGTCCTCATCTTTGTCGCCATATTTTTTACAACGTTTCAGCCTTTCAGTATCTGTCTATATTTATGAGATGAGGTATTATGTACACTATTTACATTATTCGGACTATTGTGCTCATCATTATCGCCATATTTATTACAACGTTTTGGCCTTTCAGTATCTGTCTATATTTCTGTGATGAGATATCGGGCTATAAGTCCTCATCTTGTCCGAATAATGTAAGCAGTGTACCTCATCTCAGAAATATAGTGATTTTCCAAGCGTTGCTTAGATGTGGCACAAGGCTGAAAGTAAGGGGCACCCAGTGAGGATCGAACTCACTATTCAGTCGTAATTGTTCTAGCGAGACAAGCTTGCTAACCATTACACCGCCTCGGGATGCCCAACCTCATCTCAGAAATATCGATAGATATTGAAGGATCGGTACGGACCCGATATACCAAAAATATGGAGACAAATTGAAACATCCCACCAGAAACTGGCACGAATATTGAACCATCTGACATTCCTACACCGATGCAGAGACCTACAACTCATCCCTTCAGGCTTGGCACCAAGACTTCCCGTCATTTCAAGGAGAGCACGTCTGGTCGCAGAAAAAGCGGGACACGCCCTTGTCCGAGAGAGAATCCAGTACAATCCATGATGAGGTCAATTGTATAGGTTTCCTTTTCTCTAAAACTTCATCGTTGCTCACATGTTAGGTCCATGTGTAGATTTACATTTCTCTTATGTCAAGTCTCTTTCTTCATCTGTGTGGAGCTTATAGAGCATTTACTTCCATATACGAGGGTTGATATTACATAACACTTAAGTACTCTTTTCTTTTTCGGCCAGTTATGTGCCATACGTGATACACACTTGGGCGATCATGTATCTTTTGAGGCAAGTTTTTTTTCCCAGCAGTTGGTTGTCATTTCTTTCTACGGTAGACTGGTTACCACCCAAGGCTAAAGAACCCAGACTCTCCTGCTATTCATTCTATAGATTGGGCGGGAAGATGGATGGATTCATATCTTTCTCAAGGTAAGTGAATCTAAGGTACTCGACTGGAATTCGAACTCGGTTCCTTTAGTTCTCTCTTCCTTTCCAATGTTGTATTTTCAAAAGTTCGTTTCCTGATCTTATCTTTAAATTTTTTTTGTTCTTCATTGTTTCTCGCTTCTTTAAGGATTCCTTTTCTGTTTTCTTTAACACTTTTTTTTTCAACATTCGTTTCCTGTGGGCCTTCCTCTTTTTTCTTTAAATCTTCGTTTCTATTTTTGGTTTCTCATCCTTTTCTTTTTTTATTACAAGGACCAATGCCCATTGGTTTTATGTTTCCTTTCATTGTTCTTTTTCTGTTATCCTCCTCCCCCTTTTTGCAATGTCATCCTTGTCATCTTTTCACTCTTCTTTCAAGGTTTATCTTGTCTTCATCTCCATCAATATTTTTTTTTCTATGCAAGGTTTCTCTCTCTCTTTTCGACATTCAGATTCCTGTTTTCTCAAGTCATTCAGAGTTCTTATTTTTTCTGCTTCGATTCTCTTTTCATACAATATTTCTTTTCGTCTATGTTTCTCACTTATTTTTAATATCGATTTCTGTTATGTTAATCTTTTTCCTGACAATTATTATGCAAAAAACTTTTCATTTTCAGACGATATTTTTATTTGATTTTAATGAAACCAAGAAATTGAAACACGTTGATATACCCGAGCGGTGACTAACACCTCTACGAGACGTATGAGTTAAAAGCTGGACCCGTTTCAAACTGAGAAGGGCATAAAAAGAATCAAGGGCGACGTGTAAATACGTCTTTAGCTGTTTTTTTATAGTTGTTTAGGACGTGTTTTGAAAAAAAAGACTTAGAATACGTAAATACACGGGCATAAAAAGAATCAAGGGTGACGTATAAACACGTCTTTAGCTGTTTTTTAATACTTGTTTAGGACGTGTTAATTCGTCCGTATCTGAAAAAAAAAAGACTTAGAATACGTAAATACACGGGCATAAAAAGAATCAAGGGCGACGTGTAAATACGTCTTTAGCTGTTTTTTTATAGTTGTTTTGAACGTGTTTATTCGTCTGTATCTGAAAAAAACCTTAGAATACGTAAATACTTGGGCATAAAAAGAATCAAGGGCGACGTGTAAATACGTCTTTAGCTGTTTTTTTATAGTTGTTTTGGACGTGTTTATTCGTCTGTATCTGAAAAAAGACTTAGAATACGTAAATACACGGGCATAAAGAATCAAGGGCGACGTGTAAACACGTATTTAGCTTTTTTTAATAGTTGTTTTGGACGTGTTTATTCGCCCGTATCTAAAAGAAAAGACGTAGAATACGTAAATACACGGGCATAGAAAGAATCAAGGGCGACGTGTAAACACGTCTTTATCTGGTTTTTTATAGTTGTTTTGGACGTGTTTATTCGTCGGTATCTGAAAAAAGACTTAGAATACGTAAATACACGACTACGTCGAGGAAAGAAGTTAATGCTTGGACTATCTCTTCTTTTAAGCTTCGTTTCCCCTCAAGGTTTCTCTCATTTTTCGAGGTTCGTTTGATGCCTTGTTTCTTTATTCGTTCCGGGATTGAATTGTACTTTCTTTCTTTCTGTTTTCAAGGTTCATTTTCTACTTAACACATCTCATTTATTCACGCTTGAATTCTCTCCACTTTGAAGCGTCCTATTCCGTTTGGCTTCTCTCTTTTACAAAGTTCCTTATATGTTTGGTTTCTCTTTGCTTTCCGGGTCTACTTTATGGTCGACTTCGCACTTTTTACGACTTTCGATTTCTACTTGTCTTTTCCCTTTTTATTTCCAGCTTCCATTTTTTTTTTTTTTGTCTTGGTTACTTTTTTTTTGTTCAAGAATCTTATTCGGTTCGGTGTCTCCCTCCTTTCAAGCCTTGACATCCGCTTGTTTACCCTTTCCTTCGAAAAGGAATATTTCTGCTTGATTTTCTCCGACCTGTCAAGCTTCGTTTTCTACTTGGTTTATCAATTCTATCAAGGTTCGTTTTATTCTTTTTCAATTTTCATGGCTCGTTTCCACCATTTTCAAATATCTCTATTTTTTTTACGTTATGTATCTCTTCTATTTCAAAATCTGATTTCGATTTGTGTTCCCTTTATTTTTAAGATCTTCGCATTCGATTTCTTTCTCCTGTCAAATTTAATTTCCAGATTGGTATCTCTCTGTCGTCATGATTCATTGTATATGTGGTTTCTCGTTTTGTACGATCTTCGTTTTAGGCGTTGCTTCACGGTGTTTTTTTTAAACAAGATTTTTATTTTTCTTCCCTTTTTAATTCAATGATCCCTTTTCTTAATTTTTGTTCCCGTTGACCTTAAAACGACCTCGTTGCTCACACGTTCGGTTCATCGTATTCTCATCGTCCTTCTGTATGAATTTTTGTTGCTTCAAGTTTCTTCTTCATCTGTGAGGAGAGTGTTCAGCATTCGTTGCCATATAGGATCGCTGATATTACATAACAGTTCAGCACGATTTTCTTTTTTTCTACGACGATTCTAAATCTGTACACAGAATTGACATCGTGCGTCAGGCTGTTGATATAGTTGTATCGTAATTGTAATGGTGAAACATGTATTAGAAATATCCAGCATTCTTTGTCCTAACAGATGTCGTTACTATCGGTTGAAAATCACAAAAAACTTTTTATTAGAACAGTTTTCTTTTTCAGAAAATTAGACTTCTGCTGTTATCGCTCTTTCTAGTATAGACAGGAGTTGCCTTCCTAACGTAATATTTCCTATTTTATTATGTAACTGATAGTATATCAGTATAACCCGGATATAAGAGAGTTGTCGGGACCGGAGAAGAAGTCTCTTATATCCGGGTTTCTCTTATATCCGGGTTTGGCCTATTATATATACATTAACACAGGCTTTAATTTGGGACCAGAGAAATATCTCTTATATTCGGGTTTCTCTTATATCCGGGTCTCTTATATCCGGGTTACACTGTAGCTATTATATATATATATGAGGGTTGATCTGAAAGTAATGTCTCTTCTTATGTAACAGAAAGGATTGGCTATTATATATCAGAGGTTGCATTAAAAACGTAATGCTTCTTATGTTGCTGAAAGTATTTGACTATTATATAATTGAGGGTTTATCCGAACATAATGTCGATTCTTATGTTACTGAAAAGATTTGGCTATAATATATATGAAAGTTGATTTAAAAGTAATATCTCTTATATTATTGAAAGGATTTGGCTATTGTATATAAGAGGATTAATTCGAAACTAATTCCACTTTTTATGTTACTGAAATGATTTGGCTGTTATATATAAGGGGTTTGACGCGAAGACAATGTTTCTTCTTGTTGCTGAAAGGACTTAGCTGTTATATATAAGGGGTTTGAGGCGAAAATAATGTTTGTTCTTATCTTACTGAAAGGATTTGGCTGTTGTATATAAGGGGTTTGACCCGAAGATAATGCTTCTTCTTATGCTACTGAAAGGATTAAACACTTATATATAATGGGTTTGACCCGAAGATAATCTTTCTCCTTATGCTACTGAAAGAATTAGACTCTTATATATAATGGGTTTGGGCACCTCGGCGTGGTGTAATGGTTAGCAAGCTTGTCTCGCTAGATCAGTTACAACTGAAAAGTGAGTTCGATCCTCATTAGATGCCCCATACTTTCGGCCTTGTGTCACATCTAAGCTACGCTTGGAAAATAACTATATATAATGGGTTTGACAACTTGGATGTGCGGGAGGTGTAATGGATAACGACTCTGAATTGAAAATCGAACCGCCAAGTTCCAATTCCACTTGTGTACGGTATATTCACTTACGAGCAAATTTTCTTGGAAAAAGTATAAATCTGCCTCTTCCCCCCCCCCCAGCTATGGGTTTATTAGTAGAAGTTACATCAGCAAAAATTTTTATTAGCTCCAAAATATGTTACAATCTAAAAATATTTTTTGACTTTCAGTAATATGCGAAAGGTTGATAAGTTGTAAAGAACAAATCAAAAAATCAAAAATACATATAATGAAAAATAACCACCACTCCATTATTTGATAAACTCTTTCCTATTCTCCAAGTTTTCTCTGTACTTGGACAGTCATGTGACCCTTAATGGCCAATCAGAGGATCCCGGTTTTTAAAGAAATACGGTGTTTTCAAAAACGCCAGAGAGAAAAAATAGGTTCCTTACTTGTAAGTAAAGACAGCCCTTTGTACCCTCATTTACTTTCTTTTTCGGTGTCGGGGAGAAGGCATCTAACAGATTTTTATACTTTACTGGTATATTTCCGTTTATAGAAAATAGTGCTTCATAGTTTGTACTTTTGACTTCTATCTAGCTGTCTTTATTGACTATGGACCTGCTTCGATGGCCTGATATCGGCACAGCCACACAGTATTTGGGGACCCAACATACTGTTAGGGTGAAGTTTATTAAATCAGCAATGTTTTCAGCCTTATGAAATTCAAGAAAGTTCTGCAAAGCTACCACGAATGAATCACATGACACCAGCTCAAATGCATATTAATAACTGTTCATATTTGTCACAGTATATATATATATATATATATATATATATATATATATGTTTGTATGTATGTATATATGTAGATATACTGTAACCAATATGTAGAGTTACTAATATAATATATATATATATATATATATATATATATATATATATATATATATATATCATGAAGAGGTAATCATCCAAAGAATTAAACAGTAAAGTTAATGTAATTAATGGCGAAATCAAATCGCTAACAGATCAATAAAATATTAATTACTAACAACACTCTGAATGACGCGATCCTTATATTTAAAATTATGAGATGGATTAGATGTTCTGTTACAAGTACTTTCCAAGAAACTCTCTCCTTCATCGTCAGGTATTAATATGGTTTACAATTTCCAAAACGAATATAAATGTATTGCAAGCCGAAAGATTTTTTAATTGCGCTATTTATTAACGCTGCAATTTAGGAACGTGTGGTGTCGCAACGCTAGAATTTTTTTAAAATAGTAATATTTTAAAATTCGTGGATATATATATATATATATATATATATATATATATATATATAAACCCCTCAACCTCTTCTTGCCCTGATAAATCCTTATCAAAGTTTTACCTGTATTAGACACGTCTGAGCATTCCCTAATCTGTGTCCAGATTGTTGCCAAACTTAAGTCTTCTCCTGGTGTATCATTCCATAGAATGATTTTTCGCTATGCAAAGGAAGTAGGGACAGCTTTCGATCCTCCACGATCTAAGCTCCCCTTCCAACATTCTTTAAGTATGCTGCCTCAAAAGCCGCTGCCCTTGTCACTGATTGGATCCTTCCTGTAATAAAGTGTTTTATAAACCCCCAAAATTCCGGCAAAAACCAAATGATCAATCTTGGTTTTCCCCCACTAAATGCGGGGGAAACCACAGCCATAACTCACCGAAAAGACTGCTTCAATATCTATCGCAAGGAGCGATGTAGTTTGGCCCACACTATATTCAGAACTGACCTCAATCTCTGCAAAAAAGTTCTGGAAAACGCAAAGTGCCCCTACAAATGAGTAGTCCAGACCAAGGTTGAAAAGAATCAAATTGGGTCTAATGAATTCTGGAAGATCACCAGCCAAATCATGAACAAAGATAAAGTGACTGTGCCCCCAATTATAAATAGCTCCGAGGTCATATCTTCCTCTTCGGCTCCATTTTTGCTTCTAACTCAACGTTAGATGACAAACATCATCCTCTCCCCAAGTATCCACGTCTCACTGGGCACAATCTCAATAACATTATCATCACAGAATGAGAAGTCTCTAGACTTATTAAAGGCCTCGACCCAAAGAAGGCCAATGGTTCAGACAAAATTCCAGTGGTACTTCTTAAGAATATCAACCCGGAAATATCCCCAAACCTAGCAAAGTTATTCAACCACTGCTTGAAGGAGAAATTCTTCCCAAGCCTGTTGAAAGTAACAAGTGTATTCCCGGTTTTAAAGAACGGGGGTGTGGGATCTTCCCCATACTCCCAGTACAGACCCACCAGTCTCCTCATTATCATCAGTACGCTTTTTGAGGCCATAATCAATAAGAAGGTCGTCGAGCACATTGAAAAGAACAACTACTTCAGCGACAAGCAGTATGAGTTTCGGTCGGCCAGATCCACTGCTGACGCCCTAGCAACCATCACTCACAGAATCAATGAGGCTCGTGACGAAAAAGACCCCTCAAAGACCATAGCGCTAGATAATTCAAAGACCTTCGACAAGGTGTAGCACAATGGCTTACTACACAAGTTCTCCAGTTATGGAATCATTAGAAGGGTATCTCTGTCATAAAATCCTTTCTAACAAGTAGGCTTCTGAAGGTAGTTATCAATGGCTACTCCTCCGAAGCCCTAGAGGCCAGGCATCCCCCTGGGGTCACTCCGCGGACCAATCCTCTTTTTGATTTATTTAAATGATCTGCCTAACAATATACTCAGATCATTTGTAAACATCTATGCCGATGATACGACTCTATATAGGGTACCTCTAAAAATGTTGATGGTCAGAGATTGGTAACTGATCTCTCTTCCGATAATGCACAAACTACCCAATGCGGTAAAACCGGCTGGTTACATTCAATGCCTCAAAGACTAAACTAGTTTCATTCCATCATCGTCGATCTGACCCCGAAATGACACGAATCAGGATGAACGAAGATCCTCTCGGGGAAACACCGTACCTTGAATTGGAACTCGTACATACGACCTGAAGTGCCTTGTAATGGAACTCGTACATACGACCTGAAGTGCCTTGTAATGGAACTCGTACATACGACCTGAAGTGGAACTCGTACATACGACCTTAATTGGAATTCGTACATACGACCTGAAGTACCTTGTAATGAAACTCGTACATACGACCTGAAGTGGAACTCGTACATGCAACCTGAAGTGTAACTCGTACATACGACCTTAATTGAAACTCGTACATACGACCTGAAGTGCCTTGTAATGAAACTCGTACATACGACCTGAAGTGGAATTCGCACATACGACCTGAATTGGAACTCGTACATACGACCTGAAGTGGAATTCGTACATACGACCTGAAGGATGCAGGTAAAATGGTCGGTTCTCGGCACCGCTCCAGTAAATACCTGATTCCTCTATCATTGTTTGTATCTTTCTTTCTTTCTTTCTTTCTTTCTTTCTTTCTTTCTTATTTTTCAAGTTTTTCCCATCTTCCTCCTTCATTGTATTCATTCAATCATTGTTTCTTTATTTGTTTTTTCTTTCTTTCTATTTTTGTTTCTTTCTTTATTTGTTTCCTGTATTATTCCAATCTTTATTTCATTGTTTAGTTGTTAGATTTTTTTTTCATTCACATCTTTCTTTTTTTATTCCCATGTTTTTTTTTTATTTATATCTTTCTTTCTTTCTTTCTTTCTTCATTTCTTTATTGTGTTGTTCACATCTTCCTCCTTCGCTGCAATCTTTCTATCATTGTTTATTTGTTTATTTATTTATTTCTCGTGTTCTTTCTTTCTTTCTTTTTTCCTTCTTCCTTTCTTTCTTTCTTTCTTTCTTTCTTTCTTTCTTTCTTTCCCGTGTTATTTGCATCTTCTCTATTTCTTTCACGTGTTTTTTATTTATTTATTTATTTATTTGCTTGTTTGTTTGTTTAGTTATTTCATTCTTTCTTTCTTGCTTATTCCCACCCATCATTTTTTCTTTCTTTCTTTCCCATGTTATTTGCGTCCTTTCTTTCTTTCTTTCTTTCTTTCTTTCTTTTTTTTCTTCTTATTCACACATCATTTTTTCTTTCTTTTCTTTTCCCATGTTATTTCCGTCTTTCTTTCTTTCTTTCTTTCTTTCTTTTCTTTCTTTCTTTTCATCATTCTTTCTTTCTTTTCTTCCCATGTTATTTCCGTCCATTTTTTTTCTTTCTTTTTTCTTTCTTTCTTTCTTATTTGCGTCCTTTCTTTCTTTCTTTCCCATGTTTTTTCCTTTCTTTCTTTCTTTCTTTTTTCTTTCTTTCTTTATTCCACCATCATTTTTTCTTTCTTTCTTTCCCATGTTATTTGCGTCCTTTCTTTCTTTCTTTCTTTCTTTCTTTCTTTCTTTCTTTCTTTCTTGCTTATTCCCACCCATCATTTTTTCTTTCTTTCTTTCCCATGTTATTTGCGTCCTTTCTTTTTTCTTTCTTTTCTTTCTTTCTTTCTTTCTTTCTTTTCTTTCTTGCTTATTCACCCATCATTTTTCTTTCTTTTCTTTCCCATGTTATTTGCGTCCTTTCTTTCTTTCTTTCTTTTCTTTCTTTCTTTCTTTCTTTCTTTTTGCTTATTCCCACCATCATTTTTTCTTTCTTTCTTTCCCATGTTATTTTGCGTCCTTTTCTTTCTTTCTTTTTTTTTTTCTTTTTCTTTCTTTCTTTCTTATTCACACATCATTCTTTCTTTCTTTCTTTCCCATGTTATTTGCGTCCTTTCTTTTCTTTCTTTTCTTTCTTTCTTTCTTTCTTTCTTTCTTTTCTTATTCCCACATCATTCTTTTTTTTTTCTTTCCCATGTTATTTGCGTCCTTTCTTTCTTTCTTTCTTTCTTTCTTTCTTTCTTTCTTTCTTTTTTCTTTCTCACACATCATTTTTTCTTTTTTCTCTCCTGTGTTATTTGCATGTTCTTTCTTTCTTTCTTTCTTTCTTTCTTTCTTTCTTTCTTTCTTATTCCCACCCATCATTTTTTCTTTCTTTCTTTCCCATGTTATTTGCGTCCTTTCTTTCTTTCTTTCTTTCTTTCTTTCTTTCTTTCTTTCTTTCTTTCTTTCTTTCTTATTCCCACACATCATTCTTTCTTTCTTTCTTTCCCATGTTATTTGCGTCCTTTCTTTCTTTCTTTCTTTCTTTCTTTCTTTCTTTCTTTCTTTCTTATTCCCACACATCATTCTTTCTTTCTTTCTTTCCCATGTTATTTGCGTCCTTTCTTTCTTTCTTTCTTTCTTTCTTTCTTTCTTTCTTTCTTTCTTTCTTTCTTATTCTCACACATCATTTTTTCTTTTTTCTCTCCTGTGTTATTTGCATGTTCTTTCTTTCTTTCTTTCTTTTTTTCTTTCTTTCTTATTCCCACCCATTTTTTTTTTTTTTCTTTCTTTCCCATGTTATTTGCATCCTTTCTTTCTTTCTTTCTTTCTTTCTTTCTTTCTTTCTTTCTTTCTTTCTTTCTTATTCCATTCATTCTTTTCTTTCTTTCCCATGTTATTTGCGTCCTTTTTCTTTCTTTCTTTCTTTCTTTTCTTTCTTTCTTTCTTTCTTTCTTTCTTTCTTATTCCCACATCATTCTTTCTTTCTTTCTTTCCCATGTTATTTGCGTCCTTTTCTTTCTTTCTTTCTTTCTTTCTTTCTTTCTTTCTTTCTTATTCCCACATCATTCTTTCTTTTCTTTTCTTTTTCCCATGTTATTTGCGTCCTTTCTTTCTTTCTTTCTTTCTTTCTTTCTTTCTTTCTTATTCCCACACATCATTCTTTCTTTCTTTCTTTCCCATGTTATTTGCGTCCTTTCTTTCTTTCTTTCTTTCTTTCTTTCTTTCTTTCTTTCTTTCTTTCTTTCTTTCTTTCTTTCTTTCTTATTCCCACATCATTCTTTCTTTCTTTCTTTTCCCATGTTATTTGCGTCCTTTCTTTCTTTCTTTCTTTCTTTCTTTCTTTCTTTCTTTCTTTCTTTCTTATTCTCACACATCATTTTTTCTTTTTTCTCTCCTGTGTTATTTGCATGTTCTTTCTTTCTTTCTTTCTTTCTTTTCTTTCTTTCTTTCTTTCTTTCTTTCTTTCTTATTCCCACCCATCATTTTTTTCTTTTCTTTCTTTCCCATGTTATTTGCGTCCTTTCTTTCTTTCTTTCTTTCTTTTCTTTCTTTCTTTCTTTCTTTCTTTCTTATTCCACACATCATTCTTTTCTTTCTTTCTTTCCCATGTTATTTGCGTCCTTTCTTTCTTTTCTTTCTTTCTTTTTTCTTTCTTTCTTTCTTTCTTTCTTATTCCCACATCATCATTCTTTCTTTCTTTCTTTTCCCATGTTATTTGCGTCCTTTCTTTCTTTCTTTCTTTCTTTCTTTCTTTCTTTTCTTTCTTATTCTCACACATCATTTTTTCTTTTTTCTCTCCTGTGTTATTTGCATGTTCTTTCTTTCTTTCTTTCTTTCTTTCTTATTCCCACCCATCATTTTTTCTTTCTTTCTTTCCCATGTTATTTGCATCCTTTCTTTCTTTCTTTCTTTCTTATTCCCACACATCATTCTTTCTTTCTTTCCCATGTTATTTGCGTCCTTTCTTTCTTTCTTTCTTTCTTTTCTTTCTTTCTTTTCTTTCTTTCTTTCTTATTCCCACATCATTCTTTCTTTCTTTCTTTCCCATGTTATTTTGCGTCCTTTCTTTTTTCTTTTCTTTCTTTTTCTTTCTTTCTTTCTTTCTTTCTTTCTTATTCCACACATCATTCTTTCTTTCTTTCTTTCCCATGTTATTTGCGTCCTTTCTTTCTTTTTTCTTTCTTTCTTTTTTCTTTCTTTCTTATTCCACATCATTCTTTCTTTCTTTTCTTTCCCATGTTATTTGCGTCCTTTCTTTCTTTCTTTCTTTCTTTCTTTCTTTCTTTCTTTCTTTCTTTCTCGCTTTCTTTCTTTCATACATTATTGTTACTCCATTCCTCTTCTTTCGATCCTAGTCCCACCTTTATTTCCCGCCTTCATTCTCCCTCTTTCATAAGCCCCCTTCTTTCCTTTTCCATTCTTATTCATACATTGGATTTGCCGTGTGGTGAGAATGTTACAAACGAAAGAGCTTGTTTCTTTTTCTCTTCTTTGTCCCATTTTCGTCCCTTGTCGTCATCCAGTAACTAAAACTGGCCGCGACTTCACCAATTACACTTCCTTCCACAACACTTCAAGCTTCACACTCACATCTTCACCCAGGCGTTTATGACATTCTCTCTCACACCCCACAAGCCCTGCCGCCGTTTGCCCAACACTTCACCAACCCCACCTTTTCTCCGATGTCTTCTTGGTTTCACTTTTCTCTTGTAATTTCTAGTACACGGTTGGCAAACCGCTAACCCGAACCTCATATATATTAACAGCCTTGCTATGGATGAAAGGGTGTCACTGATGTGACAGGGATAAAGGTGCCTACCCTCTTCCCTAGAAGGGTACTGGTAAGAGTGACGGTTTCCTAGGCAGTGGATTGGGGGTGTTGGTTGAGGAAAATAAATATGAGGAAATAGCTACTGGAAGAAGTTTATCACCTTGGCAGCCACAAGTGGCCTTGTCATTGCCACTTATTGTTCTGTCTAATCGCCCCAGACATTTCAGGGCTCCTAAAAAAACATGTACATACTCTTAAACATGATTCACAAGTACTGTCGTGCAAAGCTTGTTGTTGATAAAATTAGGTTTTATTTTATTTTATTTTATTTATTTATTCATTGCACGCTCGGGGGCATTAAATAGTGTCCGAAAATTGATGGTTTAATTTGACTGTTTTGTTTTTTTGTTTTTTGTTTGTTTGTTTTTTTTGTCTATGATATTGAGGATATCTTCGGTAAATAATTGTTTACAATTTTTAATCAGCTTTTCATTTTTTTTACATTTTTTATGCTGTCTAACCTCATTAAAGCTTTCTAACGTTTAGTAAAAAAAAAAAAAAAGTGTTAGCATTATTTTATTACAAATAATTCTTAACATTAAGTAACAATTGTTGCAATCGTAACAACATTAATTTTGTGACAAGAACAATTACATTGTCACTCCTTACCAGACGATAGATCAGTTCCAACGACTTTTGTCTCCTTTACTCCATTAGATTGAGGAAAAGATGGAGAGAGGGAAGCAGCGCGTTACCTATTTGATGAGCTTGAAAATGGGTGGTAGAACAGCGTTTGGGTGAAATAACAAAGTGAGAAAAATTATTAAGAGCTACAAGGAACAGAAAAATGTGGAGGATCACGATTGCCTACATCATCATCATCTTTCGGCCTCAGCCGAGATTGAACTCACCAATACTTTGGTGTAGTTCATAATCTTGTCAAATAACTGAATTCTTGATGCTTCGCTAGGGCTATCAAGGGTGTTTTTATCGTGACACCATCACTAAATGGATTGCCAACCAAGACTCAGAGAGACACCATTCACCCTCCTCTAAGAGCAGGTTTGAATTCAGAGTTTTCCTTCTCCTAGACCAGTTGCCATCCAAGGCTATAGAACCCAGTCTGTCCTGCTATTTACCCATAGCTGGAGGGAGAAGAAAGAGGATTCACGTAAGTGAATGTAATGGATTCGACTGGAATTCGAACTCATTCCAAGCCGCTATTCATTACTCCACCGCGCCTACACCCTGAAGGGCATATAAAAGAAGACATTTGATTTACAAAGGTTCTCTATTCTTCAACCCCAGCAACATACTCCTGGACGCTACTATTATTTTTTTGCCTCTCTTTATTTCCCCACCTCCAAGTAAGAATCTTAAATCCGTCTAATCAACATCTGCAAAAAAAAAAAAAAAAATAAAATAAATCAATTTGCTTTTTCAATATTTGTGATCAATTTTTTTAAAATATGAGCCTGATGAGTCTTAGCGATTTTTTCAATGTTTGGGCGTATATTTGATAAGAAAACTCTCAATTCCTCGTCAATACATTGAAGAGTTCCTCTCTTTGAATATACATTTTGAATATTGTCAAACATCGTTCATATATTCTGACAGCTTTCTTACTTAATGATTTTTAGCATTAAGTAATAATTTCTTTAATTATAATAACATTATTTCCGTTGCAAACATACCTGGCTGAATGTAAAAAATATTTCTAAAAAAAAATTTCTTGTAAAAAAAAATTTTTTTTACCACTCCTCAACATCCTGCTAAGCGCTGCTGCTACGAGTTTGCCTCTTGTTTGCTTCACTGATAACGATAATCTTAACCCCCGTTGTAATTAATGTTTGCAGATAAATAGATTAAACTTTTTAAATCAATTTTATGATAACTTTTCAGTGTTTATTTATAATTTTTAATTATTTTTTTTTGTAATAAATGTCTTTTGAATATTGCCTTATCTTTAATATTTAGTAAAAGTTTTTGTAACCATAATACAATTACATCTGATGTAAACATATTAGGCTGAATGTATGTACAAAGATTCTCTCTCCACCAATCTCATCAACATCCTGCTAAACCCTACTACTTCTATTTTATTCCTTCTATTCTTCTTTACTAGTAATAATCTTAACTCAATTGTAATCAAAATCCGCAGCCTGAACGAGTAAAAATATTTAAAATCAAATTTAGGATAACTTTTTTTATTATTGATTAAATTATGTGCAATAATTTTAATCAGATTTTATAGGCGTATTAAATAATGCCCCAAATCGTTTAATGAATTTTTGTGAGAGAAATATTAGCAATATATTTTATTATATTATAATTAGCGCCTAAAGAGTATTTTTTTACCATTTTTAAGTAATCATTTTTGTAATCATGATAATCTTACTTCTCTTACAATTATATTAGGATGAATGTACAAACTTTATTTTTGGTTTACGAGATATCATCAACATACAGCTAAACGATGCTACAAATAGATTCTTAATTTTTGCCTCCCTCGTTGTAATATTCTTTTTAATTCTGTTATATTCAGAATTTCTAGCCAAATAATAATTTTTAAGATTAATTTTTAGATTAATTTGTTTCAATGGAATTCAACCTTATTAATACATTTTTAAAATCTGTACAGAAAAGGACGACAGAGTAATGGATAGCGGCTCTGATTTAGGACTCCGAGTCCAGTCGAATCCATTACATTACGTGCTAATACCCTTGGGAAAGGTATAAAACCTCCTCTTCTCCCCCCAGCTATGGATAAATAGCAAGACAGACCTGGTTCTATAGCCTTGCAAAGAAATGGCAACCTGCTGCGGTAAAAAAAATCTACCTGGTCAGTCATATATCGAAAGATACATGATCGCCTAAGCGTGTATTACGCATGGCGCATGACAGAAAAGTAAAAAAAAAAAAAATCAGTACTGTATTTTGTAGAGCAGTGGTTCTCAAACTTTTTTTTAAATCGGGGCGCACTTGAAATCCTCCCAATAATTGTAGGCGCACTATATACAAATTTCGGACAAATATGTTATAATGACGTCAAATATTGCTGAAAAAAATTAATGCAATAAAAAAAATATAAAAGGAAACATGCCTTAAATTTATTCCTTCTTGTGTTTATTAGAAACATGAGCCTGGTGAGTCTTTGCGATTTCGTCAATGTTTGGGCGTATATTTGATAAGAAAACTCTCATTTCCTCCTCAATACATTGAAGAGTTTCTCCCTTTTGGCACTTAATTTGTGGTGAGAGAAGAAAAGCCTAATTCAAATAAATATGAACGAGACCGGTATTGCAATATAATAAAGTAAATATATTTATTTCTTATATCTGGACATATATTTCTCTGAAATACCAGGGCGCGCCTAGACATCTTCCAGGGTGCATCAGTACGCCCTGGGGCACCAGTACGCCCTGTTGCACCAGTACGCCCAGGCGTACCATTTGAGAACTACTGGACTAGATGCCCAACTGTAAGCTTTTTTCTGTCTCGAGGAAGAAGCGAAAGAAAGTGCTTTAGCGCTGATCGATTTTCTCCTCGTAAATTAATAGCAGATTTTCACCCAAGAACCGACGCTCTACTCGTTTCAGGCATTATTTCTAAATGAGACCCTAACAAGGCAAGCAGATATGACGGGATCCTTATCGTCATCTTAAAGCAGTGATTCTCAAACTCTTGAAGTCGGGACGCATTTGAAATCCTACCAATAATTGTAGGCGCACTATATACAAATTTCGGAAAAATATGTTATAATGAAGTCAAATATTGCAGATAAGAGATAATGCAATAAAAATATAAAATGAAACGTACCTTAAGTTCATTGATTCTTGTGTTTATGAGAAACGTGAGCCTGATGAGTCTTGGAGATTTCTTCCATGCTTAGACATAATCTGATAGGAGCAGACCGTCATTATATATAATAGCCCTATTCTAATAGTAATAATTTCTTTAATTATTTACTGTCGATAATCCCGTTCTTCCTGATTTTTCATGCATTTCTATAGTAAAATAACATTATGAATGCACATCTATATTGTAATGGGCGATGACAAATTGATAATTTAAAACAACATAGAACGTAAGGCATACAAAATGATTCATCGCAATCCTTAGTAAAGGCCTCTCTTCATCCAAAATAGGCTAATGTTATTTACATTCTGTGGTAGAGAAGTTCACAACTCTCATCTCTAAAATGTGATCCAAACTCTCATTTCCTCCTCAATATATTGAAGAGTTTCTATCTTTTTGCACTTAATTTTGGTGAGAGAAGAAAAGCCTAATTCAAATAAATATGAACGAGACCGGTATTGCAATATAATAAAGTAAATATATTTATTTCTTATATCTGGACACATATTTCTCTGGGATGTTAGGGCGTACCTAAACATCTTCCAGGGCGTACCTAAACATCTTCCAGAGCGTACCTAAACATCTTCCAGGGCGCACCATTGACCCCGGGCGCAACATTTAAAAACCACTGTTGTAGAGAGTTACTGAATGGGAAGGGTGATATGAATGTGAGAAAGGAAGATCATGAAGATATGTCGGACAGGTAACTAACTTAACGTAGACGGCAAAAAGTTAATATTGTAGAGTTCTGGAAAGCATCCACGCGGGAATGTGTTTCACAAAATAGGGGTTCGTGGGAAGAAGCTTTCAGAGTTGAACGCCATTTTTATTAAAGGAATACGTGGGGAATTGGGACGATTGCATCCTGTGGGTGTAACAAGGTGGGCCATGTTTGTAAAGGAGTGAACTACAAACACTAAAGAATGGAGAGCATTTGCCATGAAAGTAGCAATCATCTTTCTTTGTTCTCAGCAAAAAAAAAGAGTTATTTGTATGATGCCGATCGGACGCAGAACTTTCACCAATCGCGATGAACGGATGATCCCTCAGGGAGGGTCCCGTTCCGTGAGCGCTGATTGGGACTTAGATTCAACCCTGACCTCAAATGGAACT